TTGTATCCACCAGGACTAATTTGTCAGTTGTTTTATCCCACGCGTAGAAAAAGCAATTAATTTAAATATTAATTAATTATAGTATTTACCAGCAGCAGCCGTCGCCATCACTGTCTATCCGTGGAAATTCATTGAGCCGAGTCCCCATTTCTGAAATTACACGGTTTTACGCAATGGATAGCTCGATTTTCAATCTTTCTGTGATACCAACAATAATTTTGAGTAATAGGTGTCTTGGTGGGCTATCTTTAAAAAGACCGTCGACATTGCCTTTACCAGGACTGTGATTTGCTGCATCATGCCCGTGGGATGGACTTATCAGTTTCCAATTCCTCCACCTTGTCTATCAATACCAAAATTTCCGCTAATACAGGTGTGTCCGCAATAGAAGTGACCTGAACTGGAAACTCATCACGTGTTGACACACTGTAGATACTGGCGTCAGGCACCACGTCTAAGATGTTGCCTGCCAGCTCACTTAGTTCACCTAGGTTGATAGATTTGTAGGAGGTAGCCGAAATCTGCTGGACATGCCATGGTAGCCGCTGCAGACACATCGGTTGTAAGGCCACTTCGTCAACTTTATGTGGATTAATCAGTTGACGCATGTGCCTGAGTAGCTGATATGACATACGTGAGTAATAGCTGGATCCATTTCCCTTGAGAAACATTCATCTTTAGATGGAAACTGCGTTGGGTCGAACCTATTGGTGGGGCAGTTGTTTAAATCAGCAATGTCTTTGAGGACACCCACGGGAAGTGTAGCTGAAACACATAAACTTCCACAAACTAATATTTCGAGCAGCAAAAATGGGCTCATTGAGGGAGAAAGGCTCAGTTAAACTAAACTTGGTTAGAATAAAGCCAGCTATTGCAATGATTGTTGAATCTCGTGCCTCGTCATTCTCAGGTGTAGCAAGTGAAGCGTTGGGTTATTACGTGAATAAACAGGTACAGAGATAAATATATATATTGAATTTGCAGTCGAAAATGAAAATGGCAGCATTATAAATATACAGTCCATGAAGCTAAAATAAAATAGACTTACACTGCGCCTTTCGATTGGTGCACTACAGTTGCTTACTTACATAAAACTGCCATTTCTCTGGTGTTTCTGACGACGAAGTTTTGGAAATTATTGCAATTCGTTTACTTTCGAACACTAAACCTGTCGACACAATCTTGTTGACTACTAATAGCTTTAACTAAATTTTTGGCATTTTGCGACTTTTTAACACTAACTCATATCTGTAATTGTATATATTGTTGGATTTGCATGTTCAAGTTGGCCCAAGTTAGTGAGTCTATGGCTTTGGTATCATTTTGGTTAACTGTGTTTAACTGTGACATTTGTATTGTTGTTGTCGCTTGTTGCCCTTCTTGCTGTGAATCATTTTCTTTTTGCTGATGTTGTTCTGATTGTTTTATTCCTTGTGTTCCTTGTTTTCCGGTTTTAAGGGAAGCAACCCACAAGGTCGCTTCTCTCTAAACTTTATCAGGCGTGAGGCTAGCAGCCCTACCATGTGAACAAGGCTGCTACATAAACTTCAGCACCAAAAGAAAAAGTCTGTGTGGGGACATGGAATATCCGCACTATGCCCGGATCGCAAACGATATGAAACGGTACGGAATTCAAGTACTGGGAATGTGTGAAAGCAGATGGAACGGGAATGGACTCACAAAATTGTCAACAGGAAAGTCGATTATCTACTCCGGTCACCCAGAAGATAACCACACACACACCGATGGCGTGACTATCATGATGTCACCAACAGAAACAAAGGCCCTGATGCAATGGGAGGCGATCTTGTCCAGGGTAATGACCGCCAGATTCAACCCCAAAGGAAGGAAAGTGTCAATCATACAATGTTATGCACCCACAAACAACGCAGACCACGAAAAGAAAGAAGAATTCTACAGACAACTACAGGCAACAATGGACAATACTCCAGCTGGCGACATTAAAATACTTATGGGAGACATGAACGCCAAACTGGGACCAGACAATACAGAAAGGGAACTCATCATGGTTAGAGAAGCTCTCGGAGAAATGAATGAAAATGGAGAACTCTTCGCCGACTTCTGCGCCTTCAACGAACTAGTGATTGGTGGCGGTGTACACAAGCACAAAGATATCCACAAGACTACATGGGTGTCACCAGATGGGCGGACCAAAAACCAAATTGACTTCATCTCAATGTGAAGGAAGTGGAGGCGCAGCCTACTGGACAAAAAAGTAAGAAGAGGATCAGGCGTTGGCTCAGACTACTATCTCGTACAAGGGACAATCCAAATCAAATTAAAAGCTTTCAGGGAAACAGGAGCTGCAGATAGAACATGAGCCAAGTTCAACACTCAAAACTGAAGGACCAGGATACAGAGGACATCTTCATTGCCAGCATAAGGGAGGTAGCCGAGACACAAATCAACACTGGTGAGGAGGTCCGCACTGGGACAACTTGAAAACGGTGTGGAGTCAAACCTGCATGGAAGTTCTAGGCAGAAAGAAGAGACAGGACAAACAGTGGCTCACTACGGACACTTAGAAACCAATAGAAGAGAGAAGGGTAGTGAAACAAAAGATTATCCAGTGTACCAACGAGCAACAAAAACAGGATTTGAATACAAATTACAATACGCTGAACAAAAGAGTGAAGAGGAGTGCCAGGGAAGACAAAAGGAAATATTATGAAGCCATGGAAAGTGAAGCAGAACAAGCTGCAGGCAAAGGAGAACTCGCCACACTCTACCAAACAACTAGGCATCTATCGGGGAAAAGTTCGAACACTTCAAAAGACTTCTAAATCAACCGCCAGCTACAACGCGGCCCTCAATACCAACAACGGAAGCAGAACTACCAGTGAACATCGACCCCCCGACAAAATCAGAAGTCCTGAACGCAATTAAGATGCTAAAAGCTGGAAAAGCAGCAGGACCAGATGGAATCTCAGCAGAAGCATTGAAAATGGACACAGAGACAACAGCGGACTTGATGACGCCATTGCTGGAGAAGGTGTGGAAAGAGGGCAAAGTACCCGAGGATTGAAAGAAAGGATACTTATTCAAACTACCAAAGAAAGGAGACTTAGGTCAATGCAAAAACTGGCGTGGAATTATGCTTCTGTCCATCCCAAGCAAAATACTAAACCCCATCATCCTGGAGAGAATCAAAGACGCCGCCATGGATGAAAAACTTCGACCGGAACAAGCTGGATTCAGGAGAAACAAGTCATGTATTGACAAAAACGCCACTCTACGGATCATCATTGAACAAAGCATGGAATGGCAGTCACCCCTCTATCTCAACTACATTAACTTTGAAAAGGCCTTCGATAGTGCAGCGTCGATCGAGAGGTGATTTGGCAACTACTTAGCTAATATGGGGTTCCATTGACAATTATACATCTCATCCAACAGTTATACGACAATGCTGCATGCCAAGTAATCCCCAACGGGAAACTTACGGAAGCCTTTGAAGTGAGGACGCGAGTGAGACAAGGCTGTCTACCATCCGCAATGATCTTCCTGATTGCAGTAGATTGGATAATGCGACAGACAGCGGCGGGCAATGAGGAAACAGGCATAACATGGACTCACACAAAAAACTTGGAAGATTTGAACTACGCCAATGATACATGTCTGATTTCCCACAAATTGGAAGATATGCAAGTAAAACGCAACAAGTTGGTGACAGAAGAAGCATCAAAGATAGGAATTCAAGTGAACATAGATAAAACAGAGGTGATGAAGATTCCTGGCCAACACCAACACCAGCAACAGCAAAAACAACAGACAACAATCAGCATAAATGGGAGGAACCCGAAAGAAACAACCTCCTTTACCTTCCTACCTGGAAACCATTGTTTTAATTACAGGCGGAACTCACGAGGGTATCAAAGCCAGAATCGGAAAAGCAAGACAAGCTTTCATTACTCCTAAGTCCGTGTGGAGGTCAACATCACTCAGAATCAAAAATAACATCCGGATTTTCAACTCTAATGTGAAGTCAGTGCTACTATACGGATCAGAGACTTGGCGCGTCATAACGAGCGTCTCAAACAAACTACAGACCTTCATTAACAGTTGTCTTCGCTCAATACTCAAGATCAGATGGCCAGCCAGAAAAGATCAGCAACAGGGATCTCTGGCAATGAGCGAACCAACACAGCAGGAACCGATTGTGAAACAAATAAGCAGGAAGAAATGGAGATGGATTGGCTGGCCATACTCTGAGGAAACCATCAAGTGACATCACTAGACAAGCTGTCGAATGGAAACCGAAAGGGAAGTGGCGAGTTGGTCGTCAGTGCAAGGGTGACTTGGAGGAGGTCATGCGACGAGGAGATGAAAGCATGTGGGCAGACTTGGAGCGGGGTGAAAAAGTTGGCAGAAAACAGAAGGCAATGGAGGTGCGCAGCTGAAGCCCTATGTTCCTCTAGGAATTAAAGAATATAATAATTATTATTCTGGAGAGTTCAGTAACAGAACAAACATTAGGATAAAAGTCCAGGTAAATGAAGAGATAGTTTAACAATACATTATAAAAAAATCCAATTAATGAGTTATATAAATTAACTGGTTACTAGGTTATAGAGCTAAAGTCCACCTCTATACATTGTTAATATAATGCACAGTAGTTTTTACTTCCGGAGTCGTGTCTTCTAGCAGTGTCTGTGCACCGGTTGTTGAATGAGGACGACAGGTTCCTGCAAAATCCAAAGTATACAACACGGTTAGTAATGAAAAAAGTAGGTAGTGTAGACTAGTGAGAGGACGAAGAGTCTAGCAGCACACTGTATGTTAGATTGTACTCCACAGTTATGTATATTTTTACATGAATTGTTCTAAACAAGAGTTGTGTGCCATGTTTCTAATTTTAAAACTCAAAAAAATGTACAGTCATGTTGTTACAGACTCCACAACCTCACAGCCACAAAACAAGCACTTGGTAAACATATCAAGCAAAAGTACCACTGGATATCGGAGGCGCTGTTTATGAAATGGGTTTTACAAGTGTTTTGCAAGGTCTTTTTCAGTCTATAAGTTTGTCTCCTTATTATAACTACAAGTCAGCATTGGAGAAGAAATGCGCTTGGACATCACAACACTGTAAAAATGGGATATGCACAGGTAAGCTGTGACTGGTGCTAACGATTATTGATCTAGAACATGTACAATTTTACTTTCTGGATGAACGGATCTGTAAACTAAACGTCATTGCTCTCAAAGATTGCGCTGTGTCAAACAATAGAGGTTATGTAAAAATATCTGTACTTTTGACCCCTCCACCGTCATATGGCATTACTTCCATATTGTGCTCTCCATGTGGACAGTTCATTGCACTCATCTGCGAAACAAGTGTGTATGTTATTGATGGAAGTTTTGGACCCAAAGAATTTAACCAGGTAATGAATGTTTCAAGATTATACGCGCCCCTGGAAAGACAATTAGGGCGTTTTACTCGACATATTTTTGAAAATTAAGATTTTGACGCTAACTATCGTAAACATAAAAAACCTAGTTTTATTTAAGAAGTAAGTAAAGATTATCACTTTTGTGTGCCTATAGTTGTCAGCTCGCAAATATACGTTAGGAATAAGCCGTCAAAAATGAAAGAAACATTGTTTTGAATTTAAATTGTTTTCGATGCTCCCAAGTATTTTGAGAAAAATCGTACCACTTTAAAAGTTATGGCGCTTCAGTTGTTACCGCAACTGTGGCATGTGTAGACCAATCCATTTTAATAGTGAAGAATATCCGCACTCAAAGCTCTTCTGTGATGTATTTCGTAGTTATAAGTGGTGCTGCTGCAAGCAACCTACTTTATGAGATGATGGTCATTTTAGGACCAAGTGTTCTACACCAGCCAAGTACATCATTATCATGTGATACAGATTTGGAATGCCGTTCATCTTCCCTGTTAGATAAGAGTAGACACAAAGAAATAGGTTGCTGCAAATAAACTTAGCCTACAGGCTCTAGGCGAACTCAAGTCACAAGCTACAATAGCGTGTAGAATTTAGTAGTGTGTAATTCCGTACTATTTTGTTTATTAGATATATCGCAGTGAAATATTATTCACTAGATGATGCTTTGAACACAATTTACTGTTCATAATCATACCGATTCGAAACTTGTTTTTACGGTACTAGTTCCTTTCTTCGTATGATAGTAGAGTTTTTCAGATGCTCAGGAAAGGTGCTTAATCACTCCCATATACAAGAAGGGAGACAAGTCTTCCTGTGATAACACAGAGGGATTAGCTTGAATATAGTATCTAAAGTCTTAGGCTCAATAATCATGCGTAGACTGAGTGGTGCTCGGGAAGCACAAACACGAGAGAGCCAGGCAGGCTTTAGACCAGGAAGAGGGTGTATTGATCATATCTTCACCCTCCGACAGATTCTAGAACATAGGCATTCCTACCGGCGTCCAACAGTCATTATATTTCTTGACCTAAAGGCAGCATTCGACTCTGTGATCGGAAGTTCTCTGGAGATGCTTGGCTGTAAAGGGAATTCCAAGAAAATATATTGCACTGATTAAGGCACTCTACTCGTACTCATACAGCCAGGTGAGGGCTTACGGCGAGCTGTCATCTGAACTGATGACGACAGTGGTGTCCGTCAAGGATGCCCATTATCTCCTTTTCTATTCAACTTCATCATAGATGTGTTAATGGACTTAACCCTAGGTGACTTCAGCGACTCAGGGATTGACTTGTTACCAGGGAATAATCTCGTTGACTTGGAATATGCAGACGATATAGTCCTTCTAGGCGAAGACGCTGACGAAATGCAGAGTCTTCTAAACACCTTGAGCCGCAATCTACGAATGTTTGGCATGCGATTTGCTCCCGCCAAATGCAAGATGATGTTACAGGACTGGACTACATCGACGCCTAGTTTAAAAATAGGAAGTGAAGTGGTAGAGCACGTTGACCGCTTCACTTATTTGGGAAGTACCATCAGCCAGTGCCAACGGGCTGATCTCTGACGACATCTCAGCACGAATACAAGGAGCTCGTTTCGCATTTGTTAGTTTACGCCGACTCTGGCGTAGACGAGATGTTCGACTATCGACCAAAGGGCGGGTGTACTGCTCATCAGTCCGCTCCGTCCTCCTTTATGGCTGTGAGACCTGGCCACTGAGAGTGGAAGACATGAAAAGACTAGCTGTCTTTGATCATAGGTGCCTGCGTTCTATTTCCCGTGTAAAGTGGCATAATAAGGTGAGCAACATTGAGGTTAGGCGTAGAGTTCTAGGTAAACAGGGAAAATCAATCGACGAAGTCGTGAAGCGACAAAGACTGAGATGGTTAGGACATGTGTTACGTATGCCAAGCCATCGCCTCCCTCGACGAGCAATGTTAGCGGATATAGGGTCAGACTGGAAAAAAGCTAGCGGCGGTCAAACAAAAACTTGGCACCAGTCAATGAAATCCACAACAGTTGGTCTAGGCCACGTAGGAAGGTGCAGACTTCCAGGCTGGGGTCCTCGGGACGGTAAAAATCTATGGTTGGAAACAATTGGTGACATGGCTCAAAATCGTTCTCAGTGGCGCAGATGCATCCACTCCTTGCGACTTATGATCTCCAATGAAACTGTTTTGTTCTTCGTTATTACTCCTTTGTCTCACACCTCTGCTCACTGTTTCTATTATGCTTTTCTTGTACTTTCTTCTCTTGCTTCGCGTGCTACACGGAGTGTGGCGACTTGAACTGGCGCACATTTGTGCAAAGTTCTATGTCGAAAACAGACAGACAGACTCCCATCGCAAGTTTTCTCAGTGGGTTCGATAAGCAAAGTTGCTGTTATCGAATTTCCCCAATAATGTGATATACCCTATCTAGGGCTGTCACTTATTTCCATCCTACTTTATGGTTTCATGTAACCGCCTAATGTGCTAGTTTCCTTATTCTAGGCAGCTTCACAAACTGTTTCATATGGTAACATTACCGATACCTTAAAATCTGTCTCTTAAGTGCTGTTATCTTTATGTGTATATTCGGTATTAATATTACATCTGTTGGCGGTTTTATATTATAGAAATCCAAATAAACTTATTAAGATATTTATTAATTTTCACGACATCTCCAACATGCATTACTGCTTGCTGCAGGTTTCCATTTATATAACTTAATTGTTTAGATGTATTAGGCATTTCTCTAATTCTGTTTTTACTGACAAAGTGTGGAATCACTTGAAATCCAAATACTTTTTTGAATATCCCAGTTTTCTGTAAGTACTATTGTTCAAATTCCCATCTTTCTTCATTATAATGTGACCTAACACCAGAAACTCCTGTTCGTTACCTTCCAGCTATTAAGCAAGTTAACTTGCATTTAATACTGGATGTGTCCAATAAAATATCCGTAGACCACTGAACAGTTGTTTTGTCGTAGCTTGGCATTCTTCAGTGGTGTGCATTCACGACCAAACTAGGTTTCAAATCCTATTTCTCCAGTTTGCGGTCAACCATCCAGTCGATGAGTTTGAGTTGATATTTTCCGAGAGAATGATTTAGTGAGAACCTTTAATGCTCAGAACTTTTGACACTAAATGACACTCATATGTCACCAGAAGTTCCCAACCACTGATTGTTTGCATCATAAAGACCATACATAGCCAGACATGACTCATGCGAGCATTCTGAGACCTCATGAATTGATACCATGATTTAGTTTGATCGTAGCATCGATTGTTATTGCTTATTGCAAGGCTGCACTTGTTATAATTTCTATCTTGTAAACTCATTTTCAGTCAATCTAACGTCTCTTAGGGACCTTGAGGAACATTACTTTCAACTAGTGTAACTCGCCACGTCACCGCAATAAACAAACCTGACCACATCAAGGTAGCATTTATTAGTCGGTACATGTGTAAAGTGTAACATAAAAACAATCTTATAAAATGTATTGAGTCTTCGTCTTGTTACCGGTAGTGGTTGTCAGGTGGGCTGAGTGGTACTTATCTACTAATTACTTTTACCTAGTTATGCCGACTAGAGTGACGGTGTCACCTTTGACTATTCAGCAGCCTCCATCGATTTAATATCTCCCACCCAAAATGATTATCAATGTATCGAATGTTTCACGTAAGCCAGAGTACCAATATTGTTGAACCCTTGTCGCTACCAATCTTACTTTTCGTTCGCTTGGCTTGTTGAGGTACGAGCTTCTACAAGGTTATCTGCTAAGTATGTGATAGAAGTGTCACGAATCCTGCAATAATCCAAATCAATATTTTTAGTTTTGATTGAATTACACTAACTGTATTGGTACTGGTTTCTGTAATATTTTGTACACACGAATGTGCACTCTTAGAAATAAGTTGCTGAAATATTCTCAGATATAAACTATTGATTTAATTGGATAAAATATATCAGAAAATTATTTTAACGGAAGATTTTCAGCTCATTATGATGACTGTACATGTTGCTAGACGAAAAAAAATGTTGACTTTTTATTCACTCTGTATTTCCTAAGTAATGTGTCTGTGTGAATCAGGTTTATTAGGACTAAACAATGCCTATTTAATAATGCTAATGAAATTAAAAAGTGAATTATAGTGTTTTAAGTCACCATATTGTTATTTTCTATTGTATGCCATTGTTTTGTGAGGTATCGAATATCTAATCTGCTACACGTTATTCATTTTTAGGACCAAGTTGTTCGCGCAATTTACTGCGCTATTGACCTCAGAGATCTTTCCTCTCAGACTAAACTGAACTCCGTAATTATGAAGGTGCGATGGCATCCCAAATCCAGTCGAACCTTAGTTGTTGTAACTGATAATTCTTCGATATATTATATCTGCTGCGTGAAGTCTTCAGAGAGTCAAAGTATTCGATTCAATTTATGGCTTGAGGCAGACCTTCACACATTTACACATAGTGTCCTCGATGCAACATACCAGGACTTAAACGACTCAGACGCAAGTTGTGGTGATGAGAATGATGAGAATTCAATACTGTCTAACAACAAAATGGACTTAAGTTTCGCTTTGGGCAGCAAGTGTGTGGATTTCGATTTTGGTTCTCCGTCGTGTGCATCAAAACGGGGTTCGACAGAAGTTCAGTTAAAGGATTGCTGTTTGTTCTTATTGTATGAAACAGGTAGTTAACTTCTTTTCTCTTTGGAATTTCGCAAAAATCACTAGATTTTGGTCTGTTTAACCACTTCTAAGTTTTGAGAATTCGTCAACACAGCTCAAATATTAGCACGTCATCACCACTTTAATAGCTCACTATATCTCTGTTATAAAAGTTAGGTGTTTTAGGTGATAATTTCGGTTCATGATAGCGTCCATAAATGCCTGATTCATCCAAAATCGAACTCTAGGTTCGTTAATACTATAGTAATAGAACTTGTGCACTGTGACGGTATAATTCCATTGTGGGTAAAATTTATTTCCTATAGTTTGTAAGGATTAGTTTTGTTTTTTACGAGTTAATCACGGATTGATATCAGTTAGAGTACCATTGAAAACCAGGGAGTACTGGCAGCTGCTGTTTCGTCCTAGTTTAGGAATCATCGGCAGTACGCACCCACCGCCAGGTTCGAACCCAGGACCTTCCGGTTGCAAGGCTAAATCACGAATTGGTAGAAGTTAGAATTCATGAGCCATTTAATCGGGTCCCAGTGGCTGAATGGTATACGAGCTTGTCTTGTAACCGGAAAGTCCTGGGTTCGAACTCTGGCGGTGAATGCGTACTGCCGATGGTTCCCAAACTAGGATGAAACAGCTGTCTGGTAGTACTCCCTGGTTTTCAATGATTCTCTAACTGGTATCAATCCGTGATCAAGTCGCAAAAATTTATTTTGATAAGGTCTCAGTGTTATGCAGTAATGTTTACTGATGACGTTCCGAGCGCAATTTATTTATCATAATCATATCAAGGTACTCACACAACTTTCTAACTTCGTTTATATGGTTCCATTATTTTTCACCTCTTGATTTGATTGGTAGTAGTATTTCCCCATATCTCTGCTATAAGTGATGAGTCATTCCTATTGAACGTGTTGGATGTAAATTCTATGATCAAAGATTCAGTAATCAACTTGTCTCTCCACCTACCTAGATTACTTTTTAGAATTTTAACCCTTTCCCACCCTACTGTGTGGTTGTATGTTAGTGCATGCAGTGCAACTGCTGAGCCTTTTTTAAATTACTCAACTTCGTGGGGTCAGTCATTTTAACCTTCGCTAAATTCTTATGTTCCGCCAATCTGACTACTTCCAATCTACTAGTTTGACCTATGTAGTTGACTTAAGTGACAGTCACTGTAAGGTATTGTGTAATTTATATCATTTTATCTAATTGGATCAAAAGGGTCATTAAACCTAAATAGTTTGTTCCTGAGTGAGTGTAGGTTTGAACGCCACCCTAATTCCTGTTTTATTAAGAATCCTACGTAGGGTTTCAGATGTCCCTTCCTTACATGGTAAAACTGTAGATGCCTTAAATTCTTTCTTCTTTATGTTATCATTATTAGTTTCACAGTTATTTTTATTTTGCTTCTAACCTATTTTGATCTTCCTAGTGGATTTCATAGGATAGTTACTTTACACCAACGCTTCTTCTATCTGTTTTATATCACCATTATGGTTTTTTGTTGTACTAATGTAACAACAGAAGACAAGGGCCAGGCAACAGATCGTTTATTACGGAAATCAGCACGTATTTATATATATTTCATGTACATTATTATAGATTATTGTTAGCAGAAAAACACTCTTCTGATTGATTGTTTCCTGCTCAAGGTTATTCTGTACTGCTTGTGACTGGTTTCTCAGAAAGTTAAGCCATATATCTGCTAATCGTATTTGCCCACGTTAAGTCTGCTGTGATTGGTTGTTGAATCAGCCTTGTTCATATTTTCTCACGGCCAATATTAGCGACATAGACATTGACATAAATTAACGTCTACCAATCGGCTAGCAGCCTGCTCTCACCACACTACTACTACTGCCGCACAGTAGCACCAAGTATTGATAACATTCCATGTAGGTTGATCGTTATTTAGTTTACTTCAATTGCTCAAGTAACCAATCACATTGACAGAGTTTCACTAAGGAAATTTTCAAGATTTGTTGACTTCTGCTGTCCGATAGATTAATCTGGGCGTATCTTAATTGAGTATGTAAACAAGAAGCTTCATTGGGTAAATAGGTAATATATTGCTCAAAGTCATTTAGTATACGCCGTTATGGATACCACTTTATTGCCTAGATCGAAGTCCAACTAGTTAATTCATTATTACTTTGTTACGAATCATACATTCCTATGAAATTACTTTCAAATTTTGTGATGTGGAAGTGATATTTGACTGAGATGATTGAGACACGTCATGGCGACATCTGACACCTGTTAAAAGGAGTCCAGAGATAACGTCTTTATCAAGGCATTATGCCCATGTGCACTTAATCACATAAAAGCCAATGGATAGTTATCGTTTGGGATGACAACCGATAGTGTCCTTTAAAGATGCTCAATATTACCCTTTTTATTTTATTTTATTATAGACGTACTGATGACTATGGCTGTTTAATTTTGGTCTTTCAAGAGTGCACTTTTTACCAGAGAAAGCTCTGTTTATTTACAGTATTCAGGCAATGTAACCCGTTTAGGTGAAGACGCAAGCGAAATGGTGTCTTCTGAACACCGTCAACTTAAATCTGAGTATGAAATACAAATCTCCCTTGTCAAATGTCAGGTGATGCTACAGAACTGGTTTGCGCCGATTTCTATTATAGAGATAGAAGTCTGCTCAGTTGGTCACAATGATCACAATTTCACGTGTGTTGAGAAGTTGCACTGGTTTCAATGGGCTGGTTGCGGACAAGCTGTTGTCATGGCTGCAAAAAGCTTCTTTTGCATTTGCCAGCTTAAACCATCTTAGGTGGCAATGTGATATTAAACTGTCGGCCAACATGCGTGTATACGGCTCAATATTTTATTCTGTCCTATTTCATAGCCGTAAGACATGGTATGTCGAAGTAGAAAATATCGTAGTCTGTTTCTTTGTATTATTTGTGCAGAATACTACCATTTGTTAAGCAATAATAGTGTCAGGCATAGTGTTAGGTAAGCAGGACGAGTCGATAGACAAGATTATGGAGATTCTTCGACTGGTGTAGCTAGACGACGTCTAACACTTATCGAGTCATTGTCTTTCCCGACGGCCGATGTTAAGTAAAGTGATCGAAGTTAAGAAAATATTAGATTTAGTGGGATGCTTCTAATCATCTTGGGTATCCTGAAATGTTTTAATAAGCCTCATTTGAATATTTTCTTTTGCACTCGTGTTTGTCTGTCGTGGTCTTATTCGCTCTCTGTTTCTTTATTTTGTGTGCTTTTCTGAGTGTAGCGACTTGAACCGTTGTGCTCCTGTAAATTTTACATTGATGCGTCAATCTGTTTCTATAGACTTGAAGTTATTTGATGTGCTTAAGTCTCAAGTAGGCTTTTCCTTTGCATACATCAGTAGGCTAATATTTAACTTTTATTGAATATTTCCTGTAAAGTGAAGTAGGAATTTTATGAAATGTAGCTTTTGAATTCAACCTCTTGAATTGTCAATAGCAGCTTAAAGAATTGGCAGTCAAGTGATGTCATCAACCATCTCATAATAGGTGTGGAGCTCTATGTCAAAAGTCTTTGAATTGACTATAATTACCAACTTACAACTTCTTTCATATACTTGTTTTGCAACAAACAATGCACTAATTGTTTCCGGTTATAAAATATTTTTATTGCATAGATTTCCAGGCTGTCAATGTGTCCTTACTCTTTTTCGTAATTTCGCTTTAACCATCTTAGTAGCTATAGTGTGGCGATTATATTGTCTGTTAAGCGTGTTTATTTTATGCCAGACATAAATTCTGGCTATCGAAATTTCATCCGTGGATGTTGTAACATTTAGCTAGCACTGTTAAAGACGCAGTTTCAACTTGTCAAAAATTGTGTCCATAATCTTACCTACCATAAAAATTCAGTTTAAATCGGTATCAAATCTTCTTTTCGGAAACAGGTGATGTGATTCAAGTGTGTGGTTGTTTATCTGTTCGAAAAGCCAATCAGTTAGAAATAAATGTCTTACGTATTTTACCACCATCAATTGATAATTATGGTGATGGATTCTGTGCTATTCATTGTGTCCGCCCCATCGATATCCAAGAAATATTTGCATTTGAAAAACCTCCTGATGTACTTGTATTGGCGGATAAATTTGGTCGTTTGCATAATGGCATTGTTCTACGGGCCAATTTACCTGATCAGAATAAAAGTGAGTTTGGTTTATAAGCTTTAATGTGGGTTTTTGTGTATGCTTTCCTAAATATTCGTTATCATCAAATATACTATCACATAATTAATCGTTTCACCAATTATTTGGATTCGATTTTCTGACATGTAAAAGAATCGGTTGGTTCACTTTCAACTGATTCTTTAACTACTTTGTGAAGCGAATACTAGTATATGTGCATTTTAGATACGGCTGTTTGGCGTAGGCATTCGAGTGAATCATGACCTTTATTTCCAAATCAAGAGAAAACAGTGAAAACTAATTTCTGTTATTTTCGTTCAAATGGTTCGTATATTGGATAGTTAAGTAATCCCACCTGAATTAGTTTCATTTGAATCTAAGCTACAATTTAGTTTTACTAGTAATTTATATCTACTAGTTTATACCTAATCTAGCCTAAAGTGAAATACTTGGGATTTAGTAGCGAAAGTCTTGAGGTTAATGTTATTGCATTATTCAGATAAGATGGTGTTGTTAAAACTTATGGTGGGTTCTTTTGAATTCGCTAATCCCAAGATCAGCGTCGGTGGCACAGTGGTTAGGACTCTCGGCGACCATGCAAGTGGTTCGAGGTTCGAGCCCACGCCGACGCACACCTGATGTCTGTGGTCAGCCTGCAAAATTTGGGTTACCGATATCCATGCTGAAAATTCCATGCTTGTACCGAAAATACAGTGTGAATCAAGCTGTAATCAAAGATAAAGTTAAAAAAGATAAAAGACAAAGATAAAGATAGAGGCATATGCATTTACTGTACTGTAAGTACATAGGGTAATCAGTTCAAAGAGGCTGACACACATGAAATCCTTCCCATATGAAGACACAGAAGTTTTAAGAAATGGTTAGTGATGGAAAGAGATAAAAAAATACGTAGGAATGGAATTACCTAATATCGGATCTTTGAATTCAAACGAGGTGTTTCGCCCTTAGAATTAAGACGAACTATGGTCTTTAATACATTTAAGTTAAAGACAATTCGTGGTGTCACAGTTCTGACTTTTCATATTATAGGCCATGAATCACAATTGTTGTGCGAAGACAAATCATACTAACCAGTTGACCACTAGTTTAAAGGAGGCGGAGCCAAATTTGCGTAACAAGCCTTAGCTTTTTCAGCCTAGTTCCACCACTGGCAACTTGGATCATTATTATCAATACATCTCGAACGAACCATCAATTGATAAAATGGGTTGAAACTTTTTCATGGCAACTACCTCGGTTACGCTTAGCAATCGGTGGCGTGCAAACGTAGAGAATTGAGGTGACACCTTGTATACGATGACAGAAACTAAGTTTACCTAACCCTTGTTTTCCTTCTAGTTTGATGTTTGCCATCACTCTACATTTTTACTCTTCGTAGGCAATTATCCCCATTTGAGTGTGCTATTTTTGGTGAAAACTGTGTTTTCTCAGATTTGTCTGCATTTCGTTGTTTTTTAAACCTCATAGTCAATTATATTCATTGTTCCTTTTCTCAGTAAAGCAAACCACTGGTCCATCAGTCCTGCTTTGTCTGATCGATATTGTGGATCTTGATTTGACTACCAATGCAACAGCTGATCAAGAAGAGAAGTCTTTCCGAAGAAATGATACACGATATCGCTACACAGATACTAGTATGCCCAATTCTTCAAGTTGTGAGGAATACGATCACTTTGATTCTCCATCATTGTCACTGGAACCAGCACATTTGAATTTTTTAGACAACATTGAATTTAACTGTGCCGCGGTAGATGGTTCTGATTTTGTTAAAACCAGAATTTCTGGGATGAAATACTCTCATCAAGGTTATTATGTGATACATCATATGGGCATTCATCTTGTTAGTCTACCATGGATAAAAAATCTTTCACAATGGTGCAGTGAATTCAATACGGAACTGTTAGGAGAATGTGAAAAACTCACTAGTGAAGGTAAATGTGTTATTTTGTCAAATGTGAAGATAATTATTTAAACATATATGGTTACTCTGTGTGTGTGCGCGCACACATGTCAATTTATGTCACTTATACCAAGGACAAACACTTTCAGTTAGATAAAGTGGTACTGATACTCTTATTGGTTGCTTACGGCCTAAGCAAAGGATATTATTAATCAGAAGAACTTGTATGCACTTCCCTTCAGTAAACCAGTGAATGTGTATAAGTGATAAAAGTACATTCTTATAGCACAACCGAATTCAGTAAACTCAATAGTTGTTAAAGTGTTCACTGTTTCATGAGATGAATGGGTGAACAATCAAGAGACAAAAGAAAGTTTGTTGATGAATCTCTCCAAGGACGAACTAACAGTTTTATGAATTTTTTAAAACGTTTATGTGAATTATCCAAATCAATCATTCAGGCGACTGAACAGAAATAGGGTAGTTTAAATTGTTTTGACTTTTTGAATTTAGTCTAAATGGGTACATGTTTATTAGCCCGGTCATAAACAAGTGAAACGATCATCAGGTGTTTGGATCAGTTTGATCTATCTAGCAAGTACCGTTGATTAATGTAAGTAGTTATCAACTCACCATATCACCCAGTAGCATTGTGGCGTGTGCTATGTAGATGCAGATTGATAGGAAGCAGTCAAAAAATTGAAATCAACATTTTAAGCCAATGGATGGAGAAGTGTTTATTCCTCAAATCTGGATTTAGCTTACGTTGTGGTCTGTAAATAGTTGCATTGGTTAGCTTTTCGTCCCATGTTTAACCTTAGGCCGTTCGCCAACCAGTCGGAATAATTTATTGTCTTCTCACTTAGCTGACTTCTATTGTGGTCACAAATTAATAAATACAACGCATTTTTCCGTAATAAAAAAGTCCGTTGCCACTTCTCTTATCTTCTGCCGTCACAGTATATGTCTTTTCTAAATTATATGAAGTCCATACCTGATATGAACAACAATGTCCGTTACCATCATGATAGCTGTTACAATTTAGTACTTCGCATATAGTTTGGGGCAATTACTAATAATTTAGTGGGAATAAGAACATTAATCTCCGCCTAATTTAGGAAATTTTAGTACAATTTATTCAGTTATTAATTGCCTTCAAAACACTATCCTGCCTGTGTTTCTTTTGTTTCGTGTTCATTATAATCAACTGCTATTTATTTATTATAGACAGTAACTTTGGTTATTAATTCCCCATTCAGTCGCTGATTAGGTTGTAACTGACTGAACGTATTTGTTTTTCATATTTCTAAAACCAACTTGCATTTTTGGTTTTTACTGCTGTTGTGTTATTTTTTTAGTCAACTTAATTATGGTACTCATCGCATTTTACTCGCTTATCTTTCTATCAAACGATTTACTTTTCCTTTCCTAGCTATATACCCTGTAAGCTACAGTTATTATCAGTGTACTTAGCACTTAGTTTCACATGATTCAAGGTGATTTTAGACTTTCACATGTGCAATTATCAAAGAGATAACAGACATCAGTGTTTATTTACAGAGTTATTGTCCTGTGAGTTTGTTATTCCCTCATCTTTGATATCCTATTTTCATTAGGCTATGCTATTTTGTGTGACACACTAGTCTGTTTTCATGCTGTGAAACTATTTTCTGACTAATTAATTATTTCTCTTTTGAATCAGACATTAGAGATTGGCAGTCATGTGTGAGGCACCTAGTCTGTGGTCAGATTATCGTCTCAACACCAGGGGAAATAAATGAAGAAAATGAAGGAAAATTTAGATTAGCTGGTTTTATGGAGTTGCCAAGTAATTTACTAGTGATGAAAGATAAAGGTGATCAAGAATCAAAAAAGTCAGGCATATTAGATAGTTCCAGATCATCTAGAGGTGTCACAATTTTGTTTATTCGTGCACCAATACAACCGATTGAATCAGATTCACGATCAATCGATCATTCATGTTTGGTGCAATCCTTAAGTCTTACAGTCAAACTTGACGCCTGCGTGAAGCAGCAACGGTACAGCAAAAGATCCGAATTAAGGTCAGTCAACAAATTTTTTATTTCTGATTTGACTGTCTGCGTTAACAAAATTTCGATCATGAACAACTAATTTTGTAATTAATATAATATTTTAGTCGTATTGCATCTAAAAAATATAGTAGTGTCTACTTATTGTTTTTCTACGACCGGTTACATGTGTTCACTGAATCACTAGTCAAGCGGTTCAGTTCTCAAGATAACACATCAACTGACTGCATAATCCAGTTTATTCAATTCCTGAAATTATTCAAGTATTGATTTGTATATCAATGAGATGCTCACTGGCGACTGGCCCTATTCAGGTAGGTAGTTACCTCGGGTTCTAGTGGGAAGTCCTGACCAGTAGGGTGCAGCAGGTCGGTGTGAGGACAATTACTCGCGGAAGACATTGGCTAGCGGTCGCGCTATGTCGTGAATTGGCAGAAGTTAGAATTCAAGGACCATTGGATCGGGTCCCAGTGGCTTAATGGTATGCGAGGTCGCCTTGTAACCAGAAGGTCCTGGGTCCGAACCTCGGTGGGTGCGTACTGATGAAGAGTCCCAAACCAGAACGAAACAGCTGTCCAGTACTCCCAGGCTTTCCAATGGTTCTCTAACCAATGTCAGCTCATGATGAAATCATGAAATTATTATTTCAAACAGCCAAAGTATATCGTCTGCAGATAAGTGACTGTACGAATATTCAAGTACAACACGAATAAATTCTTCTACTACAAAAGTGTTCATTTAGCATAATTGTATTTTCTGTAAGAATAAGTCAGAAACTTATATGCATATTTGAGCGGTATATCTGATCAAGTATATGAGTTTATCTAGCTATTTGTGGAGTTTCAAAGTATGTTTTGTCTATCATATATAGCAACGAGTTTCATTGTCTTATGAGTGCCAACTGAAATCTGTTGAAAGTCCTTCAGCCTCATCCGTGGCCACGAGCAAGGTTCAGCAGGAATAACGGAAAACTTATATTTCCCCAGTAGTCCGAATCGGTATCACATAGAGTTGAATTCAAGGAGCATAAGAAGTAGAGATATTACTTTACTTAAGTTTTGGACATCACTTGTGCGGCTGAAACGTATTATGTATCATTTAGTAAACATATATTTGTGTTCAAATGATTAATTAGCACAGTGCATTACTATTAAATACGTTTCATTAAAACATTAGTTACCCATATCCATAAATATGGATGAAAACTAAAAGAGAGACTGCGAAGATGCATAATACATAAGAAAGTTTTACTAGCTTGTACCTGATTATAACGAGAAGCCTTCTTGTAAAATCATGAAACCAGCTTTGCACGGTGTACCTGAATGATGTACTACAGGAAAAAGCATGAGGGAAGCACTACAGGGTTTGCATGATGATTGAAAATTGCCAGTCTGTTATGCACACTATTTTATTTCCTTAATTCTGTACCTCAATTGTTAGGGAGACCTAACATTTTCACTGAAGTAGGTTAGAGATGATAGTTTCACCACTTAAGTATAATGTTGTTGTAACTGGTTAAATGCCTCAAAATTCAGCATCTGTAATTTTATTATTTCCTTTTCATTTATCAAACAGTTCTCTCTGTACAATGTATTTGACAAGTTGGTCAATTCTATACTTTTTTTGATATCTTACAGAAATACTGATCTATCTAAATCTACTAACCGTTCTGATTTTACTGCACATATACAACAAATACTATCTGATGATGATTCACATTTCCCAGTGATAACAGCCTTGAATTTACAACTTGACCTTTCTCAACAACATTTAGTACAATTTTTTATCAAGGTATGTATTTTACGGGATTAATTTCAAACTGAATTAGTGTGACACTGTACTATAAGTATTTAACCTTCTAATCTAGTAACAGAAGTATCTGGTTGTGTAATACGTTTCACTTTACCTTTGCTAACAAACTGTTTGATGTAATAGGAGCACTAGAAAACTTTGACGTGAGATTTTTGTATTTCTCAGCAACGGTGCAGAGAATTTATCAGAATTTAAAACTGTTTTAAAGACTAAATGTGATATCTCCCAGATTGGATTAAATGAAATAGCATCTACATATGATTTTATCTTCTAGGTTTCTGATGCACTGCGTAAAGGACCCTTAGATCGTTTAATGAAGGCTCGTTCATTTATTGATCAGCATTCTAGAAGATTGAAAGATCTCATATTAGCTCAGTATTCGGAGGCAGAAAAACTTTTATCTAAACGTCAAGAACTACAGTCTAAAGCTGAAAATTTAGCAAAACGTCAGGCTGTAGTCACAGAACGTCAAGCCATGTTAGATAAACGAATGGCTAATTTGTCAGGTCGTTTAGCTGGTAAGCGAATATTTTGTATCCTTTGAACTTTGTCTTAACAGTAATACTGTTTGTACTTTCATTCTGTATATTCACCAATTCAATTTTCTTGTTGACAATCTGTCCATTAGAGCGAATGGAATTTTCCAAATAAGTGAAGTGGTCCATACATCCGAATACTTCATTTCCTATCCTTAAGCTAGAAGTTTAAGCAGAACAGTTTTTCGTTTAGGGTGTTCAGAAAACTGCGTTTTGCCAACATCTTTACCTAAAAGGACAATGTCATCTGTGCATTTTAGACTGCTGGAAACATCACTCATTCGGGATCACATGCACCAGTACATCTGTAATGAAATTAGATAAGAACGATGAAATTGGACATATTCGATGGACACTACTGGTTGTTTTCACTTCAGAAGACATCTCTTCATCAAGTCTTACATTGCCATTGTAAATCATCTCAGCACTCCTTCCACAGTCTGACATTTCTGCAGTAGCTTTTGTTCGACGGAGTTATTTCCACTTTCAGGTTAAGAAATTTTGCAAGTTTTTAACACTGATAAGTGTGTGTATAATTGTAAAACCTATTAAAGCTTGATGATATGATCAATATACTCTCTGTCTGTCTGTTTTCGACATAGAACTTTGCACAAATGTGCGCCAGTTCAAGTCGCCACACTCCGTGTAGCACGCGAAGCAAGAGAAGAAAGTACAAGAAAAGCATAATAGAAACAGTGAGCAGAGGTGTGAGACAAAGGAGGAGTAATAACGAAGAACAAAACAGTTTCATTGGAGATCATAAGTCACAAGGAGTGGATGCATCTGCGCCACTGAGAACGATTTTGAGCCATGTCACCAATTGTTTCCAACCATAGATTTTTACCGTCCCGAGGACCCCAGCCTGGAAGTCTACATCTTCCTACATGGCTTAGACCAACTGTTGTGGATTTCATTGACTGATGCCAAGTTTTTGTTTGACCGCCGCTAGCTTTTTTCCAGTCTGACCCTATATCCGCTAACATAGCTCGTCGAGGGAGGCGATGACTTGGCATGCGTCGGTGGCACAGTGGTTAGGACTCTCGCCGACCATGCACATGGTCCGGGGTTCGAGCCGACGCCGGCGCACACCTGATATCTATGGTCGGCCTGCAAAATTTGGGCTACCGATATCCATGCTGAAAATTCCATACTTGTACCTAAAATACAGTGTGGAATCAAGCTGTAAATCAAAAATAAAAAAACAAAAAAAAATAAAAAAATACGTAACACATGTCCTAACCATCTCAGTCTTTGTAGCTTCACGACTTCGTCGATTGATTTCCCCTGTTTACCTAGAACTCTACGCCTAACCTCCATGTTGCTCACCTTATTATGCCACTTTACACGGGAAATAGAACGCAGGCACCTATGATCAAAGACAGCTAGTCTTTTCATGTCTTCCACTCTCAGTGGCCAGGTCTCACAACCATAAAGGAGGACGGAGCGGACTGATGAGCAGTACACCCGCCCTTTGGTCGATAGTCGAACATCTCGTCTACGCCAGAGTCGGCGTAAACTAACAAATGCGAAACGAGCTCCTTGTATTCGTGCTGAGATGTCGTCAGAGATCAGCCCGTTGGCACTGGCTGATGGTACTTCCCAAATAAGTGAAGCGGTCAACGTGCTCTACCACTTCACTTCCTATTTTTAAACTAGGCGTCGATGTAGTCCAGTCCTGTAACATCATCTTGCATTTGGCGGGAGCAAATCGCATGCCAAACATTCGTAGATTGCGGCTCAAGGTGTTTAGAAGACTCTGCATTTCGTCAGCGTCTTCGCCTAGAAGGACTATATCGTCTGCATATTCCAAGTCAACGAGATTATTCCCTGGTAACAAGTCAATCCCTGAGTCGCTGAAGTCACCTAGGGTTAAGTCCATTAACACATCTATGATGAAGTTGAATAGAAAAGGAGATAATGGGCATCCTTGACGGACACCACTGGTCGTCACCAGTTTAGATGACAGCTCGCCGTAAGCCCTCACCTGGCTGTATGAGTACGAGTAGAGTGCCTTAATCAGTGCAATATATTTTCTCAGCATTCCCTTTACAGCCAAGCATCTCCAGAGAACTTCGCGATCAACAGAGTCGAATGCTGCCTTTAGGTCAAGAAATATAATGACTGTTGGACGCCGGTAGGAATGCCTATGTTCTAGAATCTGTCGGAGGGTGAAGATATGATCAATACACCCTCTTCCTGGTCTAAAGCCTGCCTGGCTCTCTCGTGTTTGTGCTTCCCGAGCACCACTTAGTCTCATCAGGTCCTGATGCCAATTTGGTCTTCCCTGGTCTCGTCTAGTCTTTATGGAATTTACGGAACTGAGAAACTTAAGATCTGTGTTAGTCAATCTGACCCTCTTCTGTGATCATTATTGGATGGGTTAATTTCCTTTCTTCCGACAATTTATAACAGTCCGGTGGAGCTTTCTTGCAGTTCTCATGAGTATCCCAAAATCTTCGTTAATTTCGCTGATAAACAATTGTCAACATCCTTAAACACTGCCGGTCCTGCCACTTTACGTAGTTTTAGATTATGGACATATTTCGCAACCTCAGCTACAGTTGGGGAACCGACGTCCATATCCTATTCAGGTGTGGGTTGGATGGTGGGCCATTGTAATGCAGTTGTACGCCCAAAGTATTTCCCCCAATGTTTGAGTAATCTCTTCTTAGTTGGTAAATTCCCGTTTTTGTTAGAGATCATTTCCTTTATCATGAAGCCTATTTCCTCAGTTAACATATTGTTCACGGGTATTGCCTACTATCAATGCTTCTTCCATTTCTTTCGCTTTCGTCACTCATCGCTATTTGCTGTCGTTACTTTTCTCAATAAGTCTTTAGTCTCATCTGTGGTATAACTGATATGTTTATGTATATTTTATGAGATCTTTCAGCATTCACTGACCTGACTTATCAATGTTCGCCTAATATCTGATTCGATGATTGAGATTGTGAATCGTTTTGGTAGCGACGTCTTTTATTTCGATTCCTCATTTGTTTGATAGCAGATGTTTGAGGCATTTGATAAGATTCAGTAATAGAAAGTGTGTGCCTATTTGATCTCTTTGCTTGATAAACTCACTTTCTCAAAGTTGCAGTTTTTGAAAGAAATATTAATTTCAGGTATTTAGAATGTGCTTTTTTCGTACGCTTAGTCTACGATATTTATTATTTATATTTATTTATTTAAACGCATAAAAACTTGGTACAGTATGGCACCAAGAAGGATGCGCCACACAATAATAATAGAACAACATAGGTCAAAAGAAAAAAAGAATATATATATATATATGTACATATATAAGTAAAGAACGGATAAAGAACTTCATCTGGAAGGAAAACAGTCATGCTTAACAAGTTCAAACAGTATTCGTTAACTATCATCGGGAAGGGAAGAAAGAAGAAAATTGCAACACGTGTAATAGCACGCGATAAGTTTCATTGATTGTTTGTTGCTTCATTCAGTTCATTGTGTGAGGGATGAGATACTGCCCGGGCGCCCAAACCGAAGCAGGTGGTCTTATTAAGGGACCACCCCCCCGAGCCTTTGACTTGGAGTCTAATCCGCAAGGCAGCGGAGCAGCGTCAGGAGCTGCATTCCCATGGTTTCCGGTGACCCATATGGGTTCATACGCAATTTGATCCGATTGGATACTGGAGCCCATGTACCCCATGGTAACTGCTTTTAGTTTAACCGCTATCCAAACAACCTTCCTGACATGGTAGGACCTGCAGGGACAGGTGTGTTTCTCAATATCTCTGATTTCAGCATAAAAACAGTACTAGTGTTGTAAGCTTTAAGATAGCAGTTTCATATAAACAAATTTTAATTTCCCACTCCTTAAATGATTAAAATGATTGTCCACTTTTCAAGTATTAGTTTGTAGGGACTTGACTGATTGGTTGCAAGATTTCATCATGAGCTGACTTCGATTAGAGAACCAATGGAAAACCTGGGAGTACTGGACAGTTGTTTTGTCCTACTTGGAGTCTCTTCATTGGCATACACCCGCTGGGTTCAAACCTAGGACCTTCTTTTCACAAGGCGAGCTCGTAGATCATTAAGCCACTGGGACACGATCCAGTTATATTATTATTATTATTGTATCCTTTAGTTCCTAGAGGAACATAGGGCTTCAGCTGCGCACCTCCATTGACTTCGGTTTTCTGACAACTTTTTCACCCTGCTCCAGGTCTGTCCACATGCTTTCATCTCCTCCTCGCATGACCTCCTCCAAGTCACCCTTGGACGACCAACTCGCCGCCTCCCTTTCGGGTTCCACTCGAGGGCTTGTCTAGTGATGTCACTTGATGGTTTCCTCAGCGTATGGCCAATCCATCTCCATTTCTTTCTGCCTATTTGTTTCACAATCGGTTCCTGCTGTGTTGGTTCGCTCATTGCCAGAGATCCCTGTTGCTGATCTTTTCTGGCCATCTGATCTTGAGTATTGAGCGGAGACAGTTGTTAATGAAGGGACACGATCCAGTTACAGCCCATGAATTCCAACTTCTACCAATTTACGACATAGCAAAGCTAGCCAATGTCTTCGGCGAGCATTTGCCCTCACACCACTTTATTGAGTTTTGTATTCCATGTAATTCCAATTGCTTATTTTTACTTCTTAGATTGGATACTTTGGTCTTCATTGAATTAAAAGTGCTTCAATTGTGTATTACTTATTTAATTTGTATAAATTCGTACGGACTCAAGAATAAGAAGTATTCTACTAAAAATGTGATGATAGCACTATAAAAGCATGAAAAGTTACGAAAAAGAAAATTAAGCGATTGAAAAATCATTTTCATAACCTTTTTTTAAGGGAAGCTGATAGAGGAAACTGCAGCATAATTGTATCTTGTTGTGATTATTTGTACCCACCTTAGACAGATGTAGGACACTACCAAATGCAGGGGTCCTTCATTAGCCAACAATATATCCTCTTATTGAATTGAATTTCTGATTTTCCCGTCGATTGGTTGGACCGAAGTGCTCGGTCTCAGGTTGACATGTCGGCTTCTTGTGCAAATGCTTCGACGATGTCTGGGGATTTGATTTGTATACGACTGGTGGATGGTGGCTAGCAGTGGAATCCAGATGCGCATTTCGTCCTATTTGGATTCCACTGCTAGCCACCATCCACCAATTGAATATATCCTCTTTTTAAACCGTTTTAAAGGCTTAAAGCAATTAATGGTTGGGGAAAGTACTGACAGACTACTATGCTCAGTCTTTCTTACTGACTTTTGTAAATATTTGTAGCTTGCCTTCCATGTTTTTAGAAAATATTAAAAAAAAACTTAAAATGTCGAAAACGTTAATTGTGTCTTATATACTCATGTGATGTTTATCTCTATATTAACTGTGTGTAATTCCTTTCTTAAGGTTTGGGTGAAGGTCCTACCAAAGCTGAAATAGCTATGCATAATGAAGTACTTGTTATTCGTGATCGCCTACATAAGGGTCTTAGACAGTGGTTGTCAACACTTCAGAACCGCCGTGCTAAGTTAGAGAAGCAACTAATGCTGTGTAGAAAGACAGGTCGATTGTCCGTCTGTACGCCCGTCTCTGGTAACATCTCCAGAAATGAAGAGGATAATGAGGGAAATCAGTGGCAGCTGGTATCAGATGAACTTCGACGTGAAACTGTGGAAATCAAAATGTTGATTAATGCAGTTAAAACACTGAATACAAAATCTATCAATCCAACTTGATGATATCTTTTATTTTATTTTGTACATTATTTTTGTAATAAAGAAGTTAACTTTATTATTTTACTACTTGTATGATAATCTGCCTTCACTGACAATTTTATGTCCTCCAACTCTAATTTATAACATGTAGTAAATCTGAGCAAAATCCTTATATATTCTGTTATAAGCAATCCAGTTAATTCGCTGAGCAGCGTAGAATTTTACATTGTGGCGTATCATTTCAAGTTGCCATATACTTCGAAGAGTATGTATCCAAGTATTGGTATTTGGTGCGAATAGCGCTGTCATCAAAATCGAGAAGATAGTCTCTGCTTTAACTATGGCATGTACATTGATACAAGGTCGGTGAATGAACGACATTAAGAGCACAGACTATTTCTCACAATGTTGCGTAAACCACACTAGCCAAATTCTACTCTCACATTACTGATTAATAATGTCGTGGTGCTAGAAGAAATGCTATTGGCCTAACTCACCACTGCTTTAAGTTATGCAATACCAGGTCTTTTAGACAATATAATCCGCAGAAATAAACGCTTAGTTTGTGACCCACAAAGGTTTTATGTGAATACGATAAAGATTCCACCACCCATCTAATCCCTGCATTATTTGTGTAGCGTGACTGTTTGACACAGCGCATATAGGCATTCTCGGCCGTGATATCGGCTGGTTTATTTGAAGTAATGTAAGTGTTCTTAAAGGTCGCTATAAATTCAGCTGCCATGAGGTGATTTATATTTTTTAGTTTTCTGCCTTGGTTTCGTTTGTGGGTAAATTAAAATTTAGCAGACAATGATTGGTGTGGTGTTCTTAAATGTGGCTATTTAGATTAATAAGTCCATTTAACCATATGTGGGGGCTAACACAGGAAGTTTATTGCGCACATTCCATGTGTTGCTTCGTGAATATCCAGCTTACACAGAAACTGTCGTGGCCACGTCAACTGATAGAGAGTTCCATGAGTGTCAGGCTCAAAGCAAAAAGAAAGGTAGCGCACTTGAGTCTTTGCCCTCTGATGCACAATACTTTGTGGGTTGCCAGGATGGCGCCTGTAGTAACCTTTGCTATAAATTATCTCATAAGTGGTAACTAGGCCACATATGGAACAGCGGTATGTGTGTGTAGGAAGACTTGCTTACTGCAAACTCCTGGGAAGTATTCCCTGTCGAAGGCTTAGGGTATATTTTGTCACTCGTTTCAAAAGCGTAGATTCCTTTAAATAATGGTGAGTTGGTAGCATTATACGCCTTAAAGTTCTCAGGTGTGGGCGCACCAAACCGACCACACGTGGAGTGTATGACTGGGAATACCCTATGTCAATGTAGTTGAAGATTGAACGATCAATTCATGATTGTTTGCTCAAACTCAACTCCATACTTTTCGTGGCAGTCATCGTTCGCTGTTCGTTGGAAGAGGGAAAAACTTTCAGAAGTATGATTGTGATTTATTGTTATAACATTTATTCTTAGACTTTGCATACAATAACCTAATGGTTGGTCCTGTATTGGTGCAAGAATAAACGGTTCTTGAGTCACTAATTTGTGTTCTGGTTTTCGCGTTGTTTATTACGCATAGTTCCTGAAAGTCTTCTAAGGACAGTGTGAAGTCCAGTGTAGTTAGACCTGGACATTGTCAGTTTCTGACACCCTACTTCCATGGCCCGGGTTTTTCACATTTGTATCCATTCCTGCGTTGGAACGGGAACTTTGCAGGGCTTTAACTGCATAGGAAAATTTGCGGCTAAGTAGAGAATAGGTTGCTGTCTGTGTGGTTAGTCCATTCTCGACTCTTACGGTTGAGAGACGTTTCATTGACCTGTAACAAACTTACAAGGATCTCAGGTTTGCCTGTATCTTTTCTTAGTTTCCGAACCTCTATCAGCTTAAAGGACAGATGGTATTGATGAATAATAAAAACATTGGGATGTAAAATAAAATCTTGTGAGACTCACGAGTGTGAGCCGTGCAAAGATGATCGGATTTGATAGATTTTGTTAGGAAAATCCCCACCGTATTGGCAGTCCCCGAAACAAGAGGAACAGGCCACCACTGGTTAACGATATCATCAGGTTGAAGAGTGCCAAATATCTCCACACAGTAAAGGAAGACTACACTCTTATCTAAGCAGGTTTTCCCGTCATTGCACGCGAACAGTAGGTTTGTCGAACATGTCTTGCCTCTCTTAAAACAATCTTCCTATGAAGGTGTATCCTGGTGTGGTAGTCAACCTAGCACTTCGATGCGTTTGACACAGTCAGTAATAATGCTACCAATGTATAACCGATGCGATTCTGCTGGTCTTCATCCTTTTAAAACAGAAGTGTAGCCGACTATGGAGTGTCGGAATAAGTCAGATTATGGCTTGTGGCAGGCTACTGAGTATTGTTTCAGAACCTATGTTCGAAAATCACATCTTTGGGATGTTCCTGGGTTGTGCTTAAGTATTCTCCCAGAAGCACCTTGTGATTATTATGTTTTCTCCGATTGGAGAGACCCTTCATTTTGTGGTGATAATGCTCAGTAGATCACTTAATTGCCTGTGAGATGCTGAAGAAATCTTCCTACCTATTTCCCTAAAGGTGAATGATGTCCATTTAAAACCCAGTAGTTGTATGCCACTTAGTCGGCGGGTATTCTTTTCTGAATTAATCAGTGTTGATTCCTGGGGTTCGGTAGGAATATATTGATGTGAAAGTTTTCTAGCAGTAAATTATTATTATTGCTCCCTTGGGTTCCTAGTGGAACATAGGGCTTCAACGTCTCCACTTGCTTCTATCTTCTGCTGTACTTTTCACTTGCATCCATGTTAGTCCATACTGTTTCAACTCCTCTTCACACGATCTCCTCCGTGTCATCCTTGGATGTCCCACACGCCGCTTCCCTTTCGGGTTCCACTCGAGCAATGGCCTGACGCGCGCGGTGTCACCCAGCGGTCTCCTCAGCGAGTGTACGATCCATCTCCACTTTCTCCTGCATATTTGTTGGGCGATTTGTTCTTGCTTTGTTTGTTCCCATAATTCGTTGTTGGTGATTCTTTCCGGCCCGGCCATCTGATCTTCAGTATAGAGCCAGCGAAGACAGTTGTTGGTTGATAAAGGTCTGCAACCTTTTGGAAATATTCTTTGTGACCCGCCAAGTTTCTGATCCGTATAGAAGAACTGACTTGACGTTTGTATTGAAAATCCGAATTTTGTTGTTGATGTTGAGTGACGAAGATTTCCATATTGATTTCAGGTTGATGAATGTGTTTCTCGCCTTCCTGATTCTCGACTTGACGTCCTAGTCTGTTCCTCCTGTAGTTGAGACAATGCCCCCTAGATAAGTGAATGAAGTAACCTCTTTCAAATCCCTCCCAATTGATGGTGATTGATGCTGGATGTTGCTGTGGTTGTTGTTGGTTGGTTATTTTCATAACCTCCGTCTTCTCTATGTGCTCCTGGAGTCCTGTCTTCGCCGGCTGATTCTTCGACCAGTTTGTTGGTTTTCGCTTGTAAGCCTTCGATTTTGTGTGACATCAAACATGAATCATCCACGCGCGAAATCCAGGTCTTCTAGGTTCTTCACATCAGTCCAGACAGGATGTCCCTGTCCTCTCGTTTCCCACTCACTGTCTGACGCATAATCCAGTCCACCACAATTAGGAATATCATTGGTGATAATAAGCACCCTTGTCTGACTCCTGTGTTTACTCCAAACGCCTCGCTAAGTTTTCCGTTGTGGATCGCCTGACATGTCCCGCTGTCGTACAACTGTTGAATAAGGCTGATGAATATTTGGGGTGCGCCGTAGTACTCGAGTAGTTTCCAAATTACTTCTCTGTCGACGCTGTCGAAGGCCTTCTCAAAGTCTGTGAAGTTGAGTTAGAGGTTTGGTTGCCATTCCGTGCTTTGTTCGATGATGATGCGTAGAGTTACAATTTGGTCAGTACGTGATTTTCCTTTCGTGAATCCAGCCAGCGCGTTCTGGTCGGAGTTCTGTCTCCAGTGCGTACTTTAATCTCTCCAGTATGATGCGACTCAGGATTTTACCTGGCGTCGACAGGAGCATGATTCCCCGCCAGTTCTTGCAGAGTCCTAAGTCTCCCTTCTTTGTTTAGTTTCACAAGGTAACCTTACCTCCAGTCAGTAGGTACATTTCCCTCCTTCCAGACCTTTTGCAATAATAGAGTCAGCATGTCTGCTGTAGTCTCTGGGTTCACTTTCAGTGCTTAAAGGGGTATTCCATCTGGTCCGGCTGCTTTTCGCGCTTTCAGAAGCTTGACTGCATATAAGACTTCAGCTTTCGTTGGAGGATTGGTGTCAACTTGCAGTTGTGTGCGCACTGTTGTTGGTATTTCTGGACGAGTTGCAAGTAATCGTCGGTTCACTTTTATATTATCGAGGCATAAATGATGGGCCAAAATTAGTGTATGCAATTATAGGCCTACCAGTATAACACGTGTCATATCACGGATCATGGAGAAAGTAATCAAAGATCAAGTGTCAGACTACTTTCCAAAGCATAAACTCATCAGCCAGTCACAGCACGTATTCCACAAGCAAAGATCATGCGTCACTTGCCATCTAGACCTTTCCAACGAAGTCACCTATAAATGAAATAGGAGAGAACTAGTAATCATCCTCTGTTTCGGTATAGCAAAGTCTTGGACAGAGTCTCATATAGTCTTCTAGTCAGAAGGTTACGCTCACTAGGGATACGCAACCCCCTCCACAACTGGATAAAATCTTTTCTCTCTGACAGGAATCAGACAACAAAATTTCGCTCAATGCCCTCCAGGCCGAGAACAATTGGCAGTGGTGTCATCTAAAAGAGTGTTTCAGGCCCTCTCCTTTTCATAATATACATAGCCAGAGTAACTGGATGCCTTGGTGTATGTACGCCAACACTACGTGCAGATGAATTAAGCGTGACCTACATATGCACAAATACGGATATCGGTACAACTGTGAACACCATACATAAAGAAGTGATAAAAATTGGTGGATAATGTGACATCTGAAG